AATTCGTCGTCCGTGGGATTTGAACTCTAGACCTGCCACTTGGAGAAGGTGACGACTAGACCACTACACTAAGTCGCTACACCTCACTTTTTAGCTAATTATAATAATTACTGTTCTAACTAAATTAATATAAAAAAAGTTAGAGTCTTGTAGCCTAGTGGTCTAGGCGCCTAACCCTCCACAGACAAGGTCAATGGTTCAATTATAGCTGGTAGTAATTAATTTAATTAATTATCTCTGTAATCTTTAAGAGCTTTTGAATACGAAACCCTATAGCAGTAATGTATATATTTGGCTTATAAAGAATTCTTGGAAGGAGCCCCAAGCTATGAAGAAGACTGGGTACTATGTGTGACATGGGTCACAGAAGGTTTACTGCAAAAAGCTGTGCATGTAAATCCACGATTGACAAGGTAGCACCAGCAACCTTGGGATTTTGATTGGGAGGACGGCTACATGTAGTATTTCCAGAAGTGGTAAGAGAAGCGGTGAATATAGTAAGGAGCTGTGGTAAGAGGATGGCTTTACCAAATATAAAACACCTCTGGCACAAAGAAACAAGAAAAACCGGCTAAAAAAAACCGAAAAGCATGGAAGCAAGCAATCTGGTGGTACAAAAATAAAGATGGCCAGTAAATAATATATTGCACAACCTATACGAAAGTCAATAACAAAATATGGCAGAAGCACAGATTCCGGGTCACTGGCTTGTGACAGTGATTAAATGAGGTACATAACTCCCGTTCTAAGGATCTAAACTTCTGTAACACCATATCAATAAGGAGTACTATAAAAGGAATAGTAGCCTAATTTGGTAGTGTATAACGTAAATACCTGGATTGATGTGAAATAACATCTTAGTTTGGAACAGACAACTGTTGAGATATGGCTAGACCCTTAAAGTAGCTCCTCAAGGACACCAAACTAATATAAGAACTGAATTAGGAGTAATATGATAAGTGATGAGGGTGGAAGTTAGTTGGTGGACATTGTAAAGTAGTATATAAGCGGGATATATATAATAAAATAGGTTTGAGAACTATCCAATAAGTTTGAAAACCGGCCTGATGCGAGATGGTTAATAAAGAGGTAAAATCTTATATAGCAAATTGCACATAGATACTCAAGTTAGTAACCGGGTAAGCTAATACTATATATACTAGATAGTTATAACTGTACTTGTGATATTTGTAACCAAAAAATACCTTAGCATAATTCTAATAAACAGTAGAGGCAAGACTGCCAAATTAAAAAAAAAAAAAAAAAAAAAAAAAAAAAAAACTAAATTAATATAAATAAATGTCACAGCTGATGCTGAAAACGGCTGATGGTGAAATTTTGGGGTCTCTATTTAGAACTATAAGACCTACTAAAACCCATCTATACACTTTAATTAATAAACCCTGACAATAAACTCTACTCAAACTATTATATGAAGACTAAAAAAATGCACCCCCAAAAATTATAAAAATTTAATAATAAAATAATCAAAATTTCAGCATTAGCTGTTTTCAGCATCAGCTACAACAATAATTGTAATTACCAGTTCAAGGTTTCTCTTGCTAGAACTTATATTATATTTAGTTACCTATTTTCCTTTTGTTGAAAATCTCTAATATTTGATTAATATTTTTGCAAGTGTTGAAGAAAAAGATTTGTACATACATATATATGTACACATATATATATGCCAATCTAAATAATTCAAAAAAAAAATTAAGATCTGGGTTACTGAGACAAAAGGTTAGTTAGTGATATAATAGTGTAGCTTAATTCATAATCCATATGGCTAATTAGAACATACTCCCAAACTCGAACATGTCTGTCAAACTTCGAACTGAACCCAAGCTGAACTCTATTCATGTTTGAGTCTGGTTTGGGTTTGGCAACTTTGTGTTCAGGTACGAGTCTGGGTTTGAAATTTCAAAATTCATAATTGAGTTCAGTTTGAGTTTGAAGTTTGATCAAACTCAAACTAAGACCGAATCAAACCTAGGAACCCTACAAATTTATAATAATTTCAGAATTTTGTAATTGAATTTTGATGATTTTGAACTTTTTAGAATCATCTCATTGAAATAGACATTTTGGTAGTAAAATAATCCAAAACAAATAACTAGTTAAAAGTTATTTGATGTTAAAATTTAAAATTTTTAAAAAATTTTAACCAATCAAAATGCAGTATTTATGATTAGATGAGTAGCCTCTTAGTAGCAAAAATTAGATAATAAATGGCCTCCACTAAGAAACTCCCTGCATTTCTAATTGAGTCCTGAACTGATATCACTAATGATTTCTAATTATGTTGGAGATCTGCAATCTGTTGTTCAAGATCACCTTGCTGGTGCTTTAAACTGACTCTTGCATAACAGACCTTGGCCTTTTGCATAGATTCTGGCAGCCTTTGGTCATTTCCAAAAACTTAGATAAGCAAATATCTAGACCGATGGATTAGAGCTTCGCTTTTGGGCATCAAGGGATGCATATGTTCATTTATTAGGCTGTTACTCTGCCTACGCATGTTTATTAATATATTAATTGTATTTACTTATTTATTAATGATACACGGCGACGGATTATAATAAGAGAGTTGTTATATTTATTTGTTGTATTCCTCTATTTGTCAAGAGAAAAAGATGCCTTATATTAATTACGCTTTAGGCTATTTATATTAAACCTTCACTAATCGTTCAATTGATTACTCAAGTTAATTATCAAACTATGACTACGCGACTACTCAAATAAACTCTGAAATTACGATTACATCGATTATGCAAATTAATCATATCCCCACTTTGACTCTCATATTATTAATTTATTACATCTTCCTTATCACTGGATCCGTGACTACTTATTACCCGTTCCCAAGTCACATGTGTCTTGGTAAAGTTCGTGACACTGCTAAAGTGTTTTTTGAATTAAGGTGAAATACTAGCAATTCAGTATCTGTTAAACTTACTTTTGATTTAAAATGCAGGGGCAAAATTAAACAGTACGGCGTTTTATTCTGGAATGTTACAAAATGATGTAACGGTCTTGAAATCAGTCTTTAAGAATTTAATATATTGTATATTACATAATAAAAATTTGATAAAAAGGTTTAAAGTTTGTTATTCAAATATTTTAATTACCAAAAAATATTACCGTTAATTAAAAAAAAAAACTTTTTTTTCTATCAATTTAAAAACTTAATATTTGTTTTATCTATCTATTTATTATACTGTACTGTAGTAAGAAAGAATGTAAAATTAATATTAATAAAATTATTCATGTTCTCTAATAGACAAATAATATCTTCCTATTCTTTCTGGTTTATTTCTAAGATCCTTGTCTTGAATTATAGTAATAAGCATTTCCGATAATGTTTTTAAAAAAATGTAAAGAGCAAGATAATATGGGATTAAGTATGGGTTGTAAACTAGAATGGTAAATTGAATATAAAAATTTTTTATAGTTAATATAAACCCGGTAATAATTGTAGCAGATTAAAAATAAAATCGGATTAAAACGAAATTTGCCCTATATTAATTAGAAAATTACACGTTGTGGTAAATTCTTGGGGTGTGACACTTTAATTTTTTTATTTTTTGAGAATTAAGATTAGGATCGTTAATAAAAGAGTACAAGTGGCCTCAAATTTCGCTTTAATCTGATTTCATTTCGATCTGCGAATGATTAAACGTATAAACGTACATTTTTTATATCCCTGATTATCTAACCCTTCGCCCTGAATCAGAGAATTTTCCGCGGTGCTAAAAATAGACAAATAAGCATTCGTGAGATAAAAAGTTGCCAAAATAATTTAAAAAAATAATTTAAAAAAAATATAATTTTTGAACTTACCCACGAAATAAAGAATTAAATATCAAAATAGTACATATTAAGCAATATAATGCCAAAGAAATTCTATGTATCTGTGACCTCGTCCATAAACTTAACCCGACATATTTGTTTGGTATGCTTAAAATGTCAACTCGTTTCTCTGAAGAGTAAAAATAACATATTAAAAACAGTGGCGAATGCCATAATGCCGTGAATGAGGCACGATAACCTTTTCTTCGAAGTTCAAAGAACAATGCAACTGCTATAAGGGATGTAAATGTAAAGTAGACAATCGCTCCTCCAATTAATCCCCATATTAATCTGGAAGCAGCACAAAAATCAAATTGTTCTATAATAAACCGATCAGTACATGCTTCAAATAACACAATATTATAAGTAGAAGTTGAGACAGCAGCTTTAGCATCTTTAAGAACACTGTATCCTAAAAGAAACACATTGACTGCGAACATCTATACAAATTAAAAAGTATTAGGATCAGTGTTGGTCACGCTTATAAGTGAATTTTAATTGGGAATCTATTCAAGTTTATAGGTTCAGTGGAAGAAGTCGGTCCAAATTCCCAACATTGATTAGGATATAAAACTATACGTGTTTCACTCGAGCAATCATATTATAAGTACATACTTCGTAATATTGCACTATGCGGCTCACCATTTCGCTATTTGTTATCACGTGCCCATGCTCGGGCGGCCGGAAAAGCCAACCGTCACTTGTTAATAGACTTTGGACTTCATCATCAGGTTGTTTGAAGACGGCGGGAGATAAGTGATAAGAATCATCGGAAACTTGTTTCGTTTCATATGTATTCATCGTTATTTTATCGATGATAAAATACACGGATTAAATGATATATATAAAATAGTTTTAGCAAGAGTATAGCCAAGAGCTAAGGAACATACAGGCACATATTTATATAACCACGTTTTTATTATGGCATAATAAAATTACACAGATGATGGATTAATCCGCGTTTTTTTATCTAATTTAGGTATAAAGATTTTCGTATAATATTTTGAAAGTACTATTTTCACCTGTAGCACTAGTTAATTGTGAAAAATTTTAAATAACCATACTGTTTCATAATAATTTTATAGGGGTAGACGCATGAAACATACATTAATTGTTTTTCTGTAATCTACATAGAAAATAATCTTACTATTTCGACATATAAAGTTAATATATTTGCAAGTAAATTTATTATTGCATCTTTGTGAACCATCAAATATGTATCATCGTGGAGCAGTCCAAAATTTCCGGAAATGTGCCAGAATTATAGATTTAACTAGTGTTCAGGTAGATTTAAAATCTTGTGGCTTGGCTAAGCCATTGGAGCTTTAATTGATTATGACAGTGATCTGAGATGGTAAAAATTTTTCAAATCTTATTAGTTGCCAATTATAGTTCAACCATTCACTTATTAGGTCACATAATCTGAAAATTCTTGTTATCCAGCGGATAAATGGGTATCGGCTAAGCGACTTGCTATTGTTCTATCGATATTCATGACTTTTATATCGATATTGGTGTTAGGATTTACTTCCGCAAGTCAATGTTAATCACTTATTCTATTGGATATCAGCCAAAATCCAGTTAACTAATCAAATTCGAATGCAATAATATATACTATAATATATATACTGTATACTATAATATACAGTAAGCAGTGGTCTTTTTTCGATTTTTAACAGCGTCCTACTTTGTTTAGTTAAGGTGTTCAACATTCCAATAAATCAAACAATAGTTAGAGTACGTTCGGATTTTTTAAAGGTTGATTTCACATACGCTGATTTTTACCTAACAAATAAGATTGCGTCGTATTTTTTTTTTAAACCGTAGTTCTAGACTAACTCTATACTAGAACTATGGTATAAAAAAAAAATACGACGCAATTTTGTCTGTTAGTCAGGTAAAAAAATGTACCTAAATCAGCGCGAATTCATATATTGATTCGTATGTGAAATCAACCTTTAAAAAATCCGAACGTATGTACCCTCACTATTGTTTGATTTATTAAGTATTAAACACCCGCGTATCTAGGGTACATTGAGGTAATCCGGGTTTGCATAAGGAGAGCAGCTTCCTTCGTTGTCAATTATATTATATAATTGAAAACTTTGTATTCACAATGCAAGAATATGCTCTCCTTATGTAAAACTGATTACACTCGAGGTACTCTCGATGCACTAAATAAGGTAAGGCAGCTGTTAAAAATCGAAAAAGACCACTGCTTATACAGTATATACAGTATTATTTTGGTTTACCGACATATACCCGATAACCACTTCCCCGACAACTATTTTCCCGACAATTATTTTCCCGACATAACCATTTTCCCGACAATCATCCATTTCCCAACGTGACGTGATCGTTTCATGTGGCTAAGGTTAACAATTAGGTGGCCGGATTTTGTATTGCCGGTAATTTCTAAATTAAGGTTAGATTTTCATATT